TGATTTTAATTGTCCTGCTGATGGTGATTGTGGTGGTGTAATGGTGATGGGGTGGTTATTGTGGTTCGCGCTAGTTAAATCGTTGCTGGTTCGGTTCTCATGGGCGATGCCCAATCACGCATATCGCGTTGGTTCGGACTGAAAGAGCTGAATTAGTCAACACCCTAGGTGGGTTTCCAAGTCCCATTTTTGGGTAGGTAGAATACTGCGCTCCAACAAGCATGTAGCAGAAGGCGACTATTTGGGGGCGGGGGGGGATGTTCCTTCGAATTCTAAATACATCTGCCTGACATGCAAGGAACCAACAGTCTGCATATGGATAATCCAGATTTGTAACCATATGTGCACGCAAAACTCAAGTTATGCAACGAGACACTAGTCCAGAAATGGACGAATACGCAGAACTTTCCGCCAGAGTTTACAAGTTGGTGAACGCAAAGAAGTAAAAACAGATCATTAAACCTGCAAGCGATTATGAAGAAAATAAAATAAATAACTAGGGGAAAACGCGATACAAGGTGTGTAAATATCAATCTTTTCATTTGAAAAAAAAAAAACATGCATAGAGTATATATTAGTAACAACATGCTGTCATAAAAACCTGGCCCTGGTTTGCGGAATAAAAAATTGTCACGTTCATCCAGCATCCCCGAAGGGGGAGCTTTTGGTTATAATTGTGACTAGGCTTCTGTGCGCCATATAATATAGCTTATCATTGCTCGCCACTAAGTAGCCTTGAAAAGGACACTTGCAGTGTTGATGCGATATAAAAAGACTGACCCAAATACTATCCCTACCGGTGACGAAGTCGTCTACGGGCCAGCCAATGGGCCACCCGGTCGCTGATGCCCTAAGAACCGATCACGAAGAAAGTTATAGTAGCCATTGAAGAGGGGAGTGTGTAAAATACCAACCAATCAAAAGTGTGTGTGTGACGGGTGTGTAATGTCTCTAAATCAGTTCTCTGTGTAGTGGAAATTCAAGAAAACCAACACGCAAGAAGGGAATCGCTATCAAATACTAAACATCGACAAGAAGTATGGATGATACGGTTTTTATTGCAGAGAAAAAACAGACTGTTAGAGTGTAGTGGATGCGGTTATCGTTCGCGGTGAGTAAAATATTTAGGTTTAAAGCTGTGTTTCCAAACCTGGGTCCCACAGGGGGCAATTTGATTGTTAAGGGGGAAGGGGCGGGATGTACTTTTATTGTTGGACTGGGAGGCGGAGCTTGAGCCCCTGCGTAGAAAAATTATTAAAAAACAACTGGGGAATGATCCACGGGCCACTTGCTATACCTCCACGGGCCAGAGTGGCCTGCGAGCAGCCAGTTGAATAGCCTTGTCATATACTGTTATTACTTTAATGTTATTGCTTTGGTGACTGCTATGTCCTATGTGGTCAAGGCCACAGCACCAGGTTCTCAAACTGTGGATCGCGACCCCTTTGTGGGTCGAACGACAACTTCACAGGGGTCGCATAAGACCATCGAAAAGCACATATTCGCGGAATTATAAGTAACAAGGAAAATAATTGTATGGTTGGGGTTCGCCACAACATGAGGTACTGTATTAACGGATCGCGGCTTTAGGACAGTTCAGAACCACTAATGTAGATGTTTTCTGTAAGTTCTTGTTAATAGTGCTTGGACTTTTACCTTTGTCTTCCTCTTTTTTTATCGTAGTGTGGTCATGTTTACGTTTCCCGGCCCACCTACTCACTGTCTGACCTTTCATTCATACTTTCTCAAACTCTTCTACGTCGCACTGTTAGCTTGTTAATGAGGGTCATTGATATTGGCTGCCAATGTTGTACCCGTCTGTTAGCTTGCTAGTGGGGGGTCACTGATGTTTGCTCCTAATGTTGTATCCGTTTGTTGGCTTGCTAGTGGGGGTCATTGATGTTGGCTGCCTGTGGCGTATCCGTCTGTTAGCTTGCTAGGGGGGGGGGGGGTGTCATTGATGTTGGCTGCCTGTGGTTTACCAGTCTGTTAGCTTGCTAATGAGGGTCATTGATGTTGGCTGCCTGTGGTGTACCCGTCTGTTAGCTTGCTAATGAGGGTCATTGATGTTGGCTGCCAATGTTGTATCCGTCTGTTGGCTTGCTAGTGGGGGTCATTGATGTTGGCTGCCTGTGGTTTACCAGTCTGTTAGCTTGCTAGTGGGGGTCATTGGTGTTGGCTGCCTGTGGCGGATCCGTCTGTTGGCTTGCTATGGGGGGGGGGGGTCATTGATGTTGACTGCCTGTGGTTTACCGGTCTGTTAGCTTGCTATTGGGGGTCATTGATGTTGGCTGCCTGTGGTGTACCCGTCTGCTATCTTGCTAGCAGAGGTCATTGATGTTGGCTCCGAGTGTTGTACCCGTCTGCTGGCTTGCTCGTGAAGGTCAGTGATGTTTGTTCCTAGTTATGTACTCATCTGTTAGCTTTTTAGTGAAGATCATTTATGTTGGGTCCTAGTGATGTATCCTTATTTTTTCTTGAAGGTGCAGTCCTTGAAATCTTATTTATTTTGAATGACGTCGGAGTAAGATGGCGGTGGTTCTTTGCTGAAGTGAGACGATTCTGTCACTGAGTTTGTAGGGTGTCTGAAAGGAACGAGAATTTGCCTTTAAAACTCGAGTCAATGTGTAAAAAGACAGACAGGCAGACATGTTGAAAGATTAAACTTATGTAGACAGTCAAGAGATAGATAGGCAGTTAAACGTTAGACAAAAGATGTGCAGTTGAATTTCCAGGTATGTTGAGAAGCATAAGATAAATGGTTCAGTCATCTAGATATAATGCAGCCACAACAGCTACCCAAAAAAAAAGACACTAGACATAGATTGATATGACATCAACCTAGAAGGTACCCAAGAAGAACATGGATTAATGACACAAAAAACGTGATACGGCATCATAGAATGGCAATAGCCAGTGCTAGCAATTGAACAAATCACAGACTTTTCATCCCCACGAACCTTAAGGGTAAGGATAAAAATCGATGCTGATGAGGTCTGTTGTTATGTAGCTAGGTGGGTGGGCCAGTAGTCCGACCGCACAATCGATAGTACAAGCTCATCCTCCTCATGTAGCAGGTCCTTTGTGTAACAGGGTCACTACCCATACTGCGTTTTAATGTTGTGCTGTCTGCACAACAGGCCCATCATGGCCTTCACCCTTATTTCTAGAATCTTCCCACTGGGCTCAGTGTTAGCTAATAGTGCAGAGTGCCCTTGGCCTGAGCTTATAGTAGTTGGCCAGACATCACGTGAATCTCCCGTCCAGCAAAAAAAAAACAATAAGTTGTTTTTCACATTGTTGGAATACTTTCACTGGCCCGACTAGTAAAAGTCGCAGTAGAGTCTGCAAAACATGTGGCTAGAAAGTACTAGATGCGAGCTACTGATACCTTTATAAGCCTTTGCCCGGAACCTTTGAGAGAAAAACAGGAGAGAAGGACAAGAACAGGAGAGGGCCAGAGCAGGACAGCCTGGCGGGAGAGGAAGTGTAGACTAGTGTAGAAGAAGTGGGCAAGAAGTTGAGGAAATGTAGTTAGTTATGATGCTAAAGTTTTTGTCAATTTTCGTTTTCTCATATATACAACCGCTCAAAGTGTTCGGAAAGTTCCTATATTTGGGTTGAGTTGTGAGAAGTAAAATAGAGATATTTTGCAAACTTCTTCTCATAGGCAAATGTTTACAGCAGTAAGAATCTACGTTAGAAGGCGTGTATGACTTGACAATCGTGTTGACTGATGATACAGGGAGAGAGCATATATACAGATTGAGAGGAGTGCAATTTTCGGTTGTTGCTCAACCACCTTTGGTGGAGGAACTTAAGTCAGATTCTGGACTAGATACTGATCCGGGATCTAGCGACGAAGAAGGAGAAGCTGGAGCACAGTAACGAATTAGCTCTTAACGGCAGGCTCAGTCCGATGGTAGTACCAAACCGCACTAGAGGCTAGGTGGCAGCTAGATGCTAGAACCAGTCAACCAAGCTTCTAGAAAATAAGAAAACAAGATGAACACATGATTCTTTTTTTTTTTTTAACGTCGTTGACATAATTTGAGGCATTGTTGCCATATTACAATAAAGAGTGTAGATGAGATTTGTGACTTCTAGACAGTTCATTGTATTAGTATCCGAGACTCACGAGAAGCATGCAGCTAACAAGACATCATCATCAACACCACCACTATTGACACGACCATCTTTCTCCTCGTCTACGATCTTCAAATCGGCTCCTCCTGTAGCGAACCTAAAGACGAACCTGGGTGTGACATCAACATACGTAACAAAGTAGACAGCTGTGCTACATTTGCAGAAGGTCGCTCTCGTCACAGTCTGCATGAAAGAAACGCGATCTCTCGCCAATTCTCCTGCCTTAAGCTACCGACAAATAAAGCTAGACCGACCGACAGATAAAAAACGCTAGAACGACCGATAGACAAATAAAACCAGACCGACCGATAGACAAATAACACCAGACCGACCGATAGACAAATAACACCAGAACGACCGATAGACAAATAACACCAGACCGACCGATAGACAAATAAGTCATCAACCTTCCACATTCGCAGCCCGACAGCCAAGTCGCACACAGCTCTCTCTCGCTCGCTCGATACCGCCCGATAAAGCCACGTGTGTCTCTCGTTAGCTTGCCAACTATCCATTCGTAGCCAGATTATCAATAGCTAGATACTGGTCAGAACTCGCTTGACATTCAGCTGAGTTTTGGCTCGACTAGGCTATTGTTATTCGTCTGCGGGTGGGTTATTGGCGGCCCGGGAGCACATCACTGTTGTAGAGATAGTCATACCAGCCAGTTTTTTTAACGATTGCTAGAGAACTAAGGAGAAAGCACGCTTGGGTGTCCTTTTTAGGATACTCTAACAAGCCTTGCCTACTCCGAAGGGACCTAGCTTTCGCTACAGACCGCATTTGCCCATCATTGATTTTCCTGTCATGGAAAAACAACAAGCAGCCGCACCCACACCAAGAAAGAGGATGGCCACATCAGCAGCCTCACCGGCAGGCGCCCCTATCGCGGCGCCTCGCACACCTACGCCAACTGAAGCCGCCCCTATCGTGGCGACAGCACCAGAAGCCGCCCCAGTCGTGGCGCAGGAACCTACCGGCACCCGCCTACGAAGACAGCAGCCTGGAGCCCTCAGCAGCGACAACATCATCCAGTGCTCACGTTGTAACAAGGCGTGGCACACAGCCGCACACTGCCGCAACAGCCCAGCATGCCGCTACTGCTCTAAGCCGCACGACTTTAAGGAGTGCCCACTTGCCAAGAAGGACCCCGACTTTAAAAAGCCAAACAGTAGCAGAAGGTGTTCAAACTGTGGAGGGCCCCACAGCGCCAGATACATGGGCTGCACCTACCTAAAAAAGTGCAAGCAGCAAGCGGCAATTCCAAGTAGTGAGAGAAGACCAGAGAAAGTGATTCCAGTCGCTAACAACAACGCGACAACCCAGGAAGTGAGAGCACTCAAAACCGCAGTCCAGAAGCTGACAGCAGACAAAGAGAAGGCCACCGCTGAAAGACTTGAGATGCTGGGACTAATCTCCCAAACACTCGAAGAAGTCAAATCCCAGAAGCGAGACAGAATAGCAGAAGCTGCACACCATACCAAGCTGCTAGCAGAAGTAAATGAAGCAAGCAAAAAACTACAAGGCCTTCTGTCACAGCTGAAAACGGAACAGGACCAGGCGGCAGCCTACCGACAAGCCGAGAGAGAAGAAAGAAAGGCAGAGACGGCCTTACTTAACGAAGCCAGAGAGTCCGCGTACAGAGAAGTCGCCCTGCTAGTAAAAACAACAGCAGAAGCAGCTACACGGGAGGCAAAACAAGAACGAGAACTCTTACTAGCAGAGAGAAGCAAGGCACCAGCCGCAAACCCAAACATCAGCAGGGCTGACAAAAGTACAGAAACAGAAACCGATGAGGGAGGCACTGTCCAGCCAGTTGAAGAAGCCGTGTCCGAAGCTACAGAGGCGACCCCAACCGCAGATGAGATCCCAGTCATCGCAGAAACCGAACAGTCAGATGGAGAGATCATAACCGACGAAGAAAACACACAAGCGGAGGCGACAACACTGAGTCCAGAGGCAGAAGAAATTATAATCCCGAAGGACATAAGCGAAGCCGGCCTAAGGGAAATTGTGCAAGTTTTCAACAAACAAGAAAATCTCCCACACAAGATCAAATTTGAAGGCGGCCGCTACATCATCGAATATGACCGGGAAATATATAATAGTGGCGAACTCATATTCAACGAGGAAAGCAAAGCCTACATCTCCAAATTGAACAGGTTCTGGTAACAAGTGAACGACACCCACTATCGAATAAAAGAAACAAAAAGGAGTTAGAGGATTCGGGGAACACCGAACAGGCGCCGATAGACATCAGCCAACCAGAACCGACCAGGCCGCCATGACACACCAAACCACTCCCACCGGACCGGAAAAAACCCACTTGCCAGAGACCAGCCAGGCATCGACAGCCAAGTTTGACCACTCCCACCCTTCCCGTCCCAGGCCACCCGGCACATGTGGCTGTCCTTCTCAGGACAGCCATGTCCACACCCTAAACCCGCAAGCCGCCCGCCAAGCTCACGCTGCTAACAAGAACGCAACAAATGCAAGAAAACTCAGGCGAGAATGATCGCCACAAGAAAGAAATTCAAATCAAACCACAACTGCAACCGACTTTGATATAGCAAGCCGTCAGGCAGCTGAAAGAAGTCACAAGTTTGGAATTTTTGTTCTTATGAATCCTGAGACAAATAACACCAGACCGACCAATAGACCACACACACACACACAAACGCCAGACCGACCGATAGACAAATAACACCAGACCGACCGATAGACAAATAACGCTAGACCGACCGATAGACAAAAAACGCCAGACCGACCGATAGACAAATAACACCAGACTAACCGATAGACAAAAAACACCAGACCGACCGATAGACAAAAAACACCAGACCGACCGATAGACCACACACACACACACACACAAAAACGCCAGACCGACCGATAGACAAATAACGCCAGACCGACCGATAGAAAAAAAAACCGCCAGGCCGACCGATACATTCGGAACTTTTGGTCAGGCGTCCAGACTGGTAGCTATTTAATGAACAGAGGGGTAGGTGAAGGGTGGAGCACGATGGATGGGTAAATGGATAAGTGGATGGTAGATGGGTAGGTAGGTAGTTGGGTGGATAATGTATGAGGCGGAAAGGTTTGATGAGTGGGTTATAAATGGGCGGATGATATATGGGTGAGTGCTTGGTGATCCACGGGTGGAAGATGGGTAGTTAATATGTGATAGATAGGTATATTATGGATTGAGTCTGGATGGGTAGACAGTTTGTGGGAATGGATAGATGTCAACAAATGGATGGACTAAGGATGACTGGATGAAGAATAGGTTAGATTGATAGGTGGATGGTGGGTGATATATAGACATGTGGATGGATGGTTGGGTGGACAGAAAGACAAATCACAACTACGACAGTTTACACTTCTTACCCTGTGTAAGGCGGGGGGACTGGTGCCATAGCTACAGAATAATTGGAGGCTAGGCCCACGTTGTTGTGGTAAACTCCGGTCTCGGCTGGACCTAATTTATGCGAAGCTGGGACGGACAAGGAATCATACTCGTGTGAGGCATCTCTCGATGTTGACGGCCTCACTGTCGTGCCCGGAGTGTAAGCGCTGTATGGAGAAAGTGAGAAAGGGGGGGGGGTGGTAGGTGTTATAACAGGACATTGTTTTTCTAGAAAGACATTTGCTGGTACTATCCAAAATTCGTCTTTAAAGAGGTACCTGTATATACCATAATATGCCTCTTACACAAGCACTGAAAAAAATGATGCCTATATAAGGTTCAGGTACTGCCTACGGCGTAAACACAAAGCCCTGATTATAAATATATCTACTACTACAATGTTTTAGCTATCACTCTTTCTTCTTCCTCAGATTTCCGAGCCCTTGAGGTTCACTGCTGCAGATATCACCCACCTCCACTCATCTCTCTGGTTGGCCTTCGCTTTCTGAGTCTGCGGGCAGGAATTTCAGACAGTAAACTTGTTTTGGATATAGTGAATGCTGCAAATGTATCATCATGTTTTTCTGCCTTTGCTCTTCAAATGATGGTTGGCGCATTGCGTTGCAGTTTACAACTAGGCTGCGATATCTGCACCTTTTCGCCCAATACATCTGATTTCAGCCAACACCTAATTAGACGCCTAATAAGTCCCTCCACTCCCCGCCCCCTGTCCTGAAACGCATGGAGTGAATGTCGTCATCAGCATCATCATCAACATCAACATCAGTATCGTCATCAGCATTAGTCTCGTCAACATCATCAAAATCATTAATGCCAGTATCGACATCATTACTATCACCATGGAATATGCTCACAATGAATCATTCATTCTACAGAAATGTGACTAGCAACAGGAGCACCAAGATGACCAACAACAACAACAACAGTAATTACACTAACAACAACAACAACAACTCGAACGACAACAATGATATCAAGAGGAACAGCAACAACACTACTGTTGGTAGCAGCTATAACAGCGAAGCACTGCAATCACAACAGCAAGAAAAGAACAACAACAAAAGGTAACATCAACAGCAATACTAACAATACCAACATCAGCATCAGCAAAACTAACAACAACAATAACAACAAAACTAACAACAATAATACTAACAAAAACAACACTAACATTACCAGCAGCAGCAAAACATTAGCATTAACATTAACAACAAGAGCAAGAACTATACTTCTAGCAGCGACAGCAACAACAACGACAGCAGCAACAACACTAACAACAACAAAGTTAACACACACAACGTACACTTGGAACAAACCAACGACAACAGCACTAGCAATACCCCTTCATCTTCTTCCTAGTCTTCTTCTTCTCTCTCTTCTGCCTTCGCCCTTTAAAGGGCATTTGGTACTTTGTGTTGTGATTTACAGCTAGGCTGTGATATCTACGTCTTTCGACCTAGCACATTCGTCCTTGCACATGATTTCAGCAAATCTTTAGTTTGTCGCCTTTTATCACATGCTTGTTGAGGAGCAGAGGTTTAGGAAGGGGTTGTGGTTTGCCCCGGGTGTCAATACTGAGGGTTGGGGGGAGAGGGGGTGACAAAATGGCAAAAATAAGTGTTTTAAAATATAAAAAATAGATAGGTGGGGCATCTGGAGGAGGGAGAGTGGACAGTAAATTTGGTCCGCCGGCGACAACCTGACCCTGCTACGCCACTGGCAATGGGTCGTCTACTCATAATCCTCCAAAACAAGGGACCTCCTGAACCCACACGGGGGAGACACTGACCCCCTGCCAAAAGCCTGCGCACCCTACTTACTTTGGCTTGCTCCAGAAATGAACTGAAGTCTCATCTCCTGGCGTCGCCTGCTGAGCTTTCCTCCGCCGGATGCATGTGAAGACAAGGACGCATATAAGCACGATCAAAACAACGGCGAGGACACATCCAATCACTGCCCCGACGACTGTACCCGTACTGCTGCTGCTATTGTTGTCATCGTCGTCGTTGTCATGGAGTCCACTTGAATCTCCATCTGAAACTGTTGCAGTGTTTACGTTTTTATAGGCTTTTGTTAAGTTCATTCGTGATGTTTTTCTGGGCAAAACTTTGCCTTCGATTTCAAAACTGTTTGTTGATAAGCTGTTCAGCTCAAATTTTGTTTACCTTTTTAGTCTCAAACAGCTGATAGTTTAAACTATTTTTGTAATGCTTTTGCTTCTTCTTCTTCTTCTTCTTCTTCTTCTTCTTCTTCTGCTTCTTCTTCATCTTCTTCTTCTTCTTCTTCTTCTTCTTCTTCTTCTTCTTCTTCTTTATTACACCCAATTTAGACACTTTTAACGATACTCTTGCTAAGGGGCAGATTCGATGCTTATCATAATTATAGTCTATACACTAACGTACTGAGAGAGAGCGAGAGAGAGAG